AGTGTGAGAGGGGCTTTGGAGTAAGTGTGAGAGGGGCTTTGGAGTAAGTGTGAGAGGGGCTTTGGAGTAAGTGTGAGAGGGGCTTTGGAGTAAGTGTGAGAGGGGCTTTGGAGTAAGTGTGAGAGGGGCTTTGGGGTAAGTGTGAGAGGGGCTTTGAGGTAAGGGTGAGAGGTAGATGTAAGGATGGTTCGTGCGCTGGAAGGGATCAGGATCGTGAATGCAAGTTAGGGAGGCCAAGATGGTGTGGAGTAAAGGGTTTTGAGGATGAGGGCTGGTTTTGAGGAAGGTTATTGCACTGGGGAGGATTCTTGTAGGAAGCGGCATGTCAGAACATTTTTGAACTGTACTGAGAACAAGGGTCAGGAACATAAGTAAAGTTAACTCCTGGAGGCTGAGTTTCAACACCTGTCATTCCATTGCCTGCCTCTCCCCCTTGTTTCTTCTTAACTTTCTAAAGTGTGTTACTTTAAGGTCAGTTCACTCTCATAAGTAGACTCACCAGATAGTAGGGCTAACATAGGTCCAAGACACATCCGGTAGGTAGCAATGTGTTCCCTCGCAAAAAACAACTTTGCTACCCAACTCTATTAAGAGAAAAAAATAGCTTGGGGCAACCCTCCAGAGCTAACAAGCTCTGTAGTCTTCCACAGAGTTGGCCTCACCCGAAATGTGCTTGATAGTGTTGTTCTAGGGTGTACTTTCTAGGTCCCAGAGCATTTAGCGAGGTTTCTTGCTCTACCTGAACAGAATACGAAGAGATGACACATAATGTTACAGTGCTCCAGCTCCAAAACCAGAACTAGAGCTTTTTTCATTGGTTAAGCAAAGCCGTTGATAGACTTTAAGCTTCACTTGAAACCCAACTGTGCACTCTTTGCCTCAGTGATTCCAGATATGAGCGGTCAAGGATCTTCCATTAGTTAAGCAATCGAATTTCGACCCCCACTGACTTTATGTAAGGAATCAGAGTCAGTACTAAGGTCTGTGGGGTCGGAGGAATCGTTATAGGTGATAGAAGTTCAAGGAGCTACCGCAGTTAAGCTCCTACTTCGAGCCATCATATCGTACCTTCAAAGTGTGACCAAGCAATGCTTCCTGGATCACAACTTTAATGTTCTCTTTAAAAGAAATGGGATGTAGATACCTTGTCGTAGCTTTGCTTCATGTTGTCCTGGTCTTTAAGGTTGTCCTTAGCTATCTGACGCACCTGATGAAACCGCGCCTTAAAGTCGTCAGCGACGTTACTGTTAATATCTTCCAGCTAGTCATCTTTGAGTATATGTAGAGGTCCTGTCTCATTGTGTCCAAACATCAGTTCGAAGTGACTCTACCGATGGATTCTTAATAGTTTTTCTCATAACGATGAGCAGTAATGGCAAGAACTCATCTCAGTTTGTTGGAAAGTGCAGGCAGTAAGTTCGTATCATTGTCTTGAAGGTTCGATTGAATCTTTCATGTGCCACTTGTTATAAGCCACTGAAGAAGACTGTATGCCTAAACGGCTTCTAAATTTGAAATTTAATCACTCTGTTGGTCCTTGGGATTCCAAGTTTAGGTAAACATAACAATGGCTTTAATGGCAGCCTTTGTGTTTATGGTATGCTTGGGCACTGTTTTGCATAAGCAGTGTTTTTATCAATAATAGTGAAAGTATACAGATTACCTGACTTGCTCTCTGTAGAAGTCCTACGCAACTGATGATCGGGCGTGCAATAAGGATCTCTCTCAGTAAGTATAGGACACAAAAGGTGCTAGTATAGAGTCCTGGCATTACCACGTGATGACAGTCATGGCAGGACCTGGTGTTCCTCTTGACGTCCTGTTTCAAACCTTGCCACTCAGTGAATTGTGGGCCACCCTAGTACCTGAGATTTAAATATGTTATGGGTAATAACGTTAACCTTTCATCAACGAATTACTAGTATGAACCTGTTTTAAAAAGCCACTCTTGGCAAAATAATAGAGAAAGACTTTGCTTGACTCACGAAATCGTAATGACATGATTGCAAACTTTGGTTGTCTTCAGATATTGCAGATGTTATGGATGGGTCCAGTTGTTGCTTTTCCCTGAAGGTCGTTCAGTTGGGCATGGAAGCAGAAGCGTCTGGCAGTCCTGCCACTTAGGAATAAGGTGTGGTCACGAGAGACACCTGAACTGCGAAGTCCTGACCAGCTTCCACCTCAAAACGAATTGTCCAATTCAGGGTTTAAGTTCCTCAGAGTAAGATTAGTATTCTCATCAGATAACTGGAATTTTTTTCAGAAGCAAAACTTTCGATGTGGATGTGGATTTCTGACTATTGGACTTACTCGTATTCCCAGACTTAACGTTTCATGAAGACTGTCTGGAGCTTGAGTCAGTGATGGCATGGATCATTATGTGACACACTTCACAGCCTCGGAAATCTTGTCTTTACTAGCACTTTCTCGTGACCGGTGAGTTATTGTTCACCAGAGGCCTAACTTTTCGCGCCACCTGCAGAACTTCCTCCCATCTCCC